ATTGTTTTAATTTCCTTTGACTATTGAATATATTGACTTTATTCTTACACCTCCTGACCAGTAAAATACTTGTTTCTTGGCTGACTGGTGCTTTTTTGTCATTTTCTTACCTTCAGTAATGTATTTGAGACTTTTCCTACGATCTTCTGCCTTAGTGGTATCAATTCCAGATAGGTTTGGCACCTTTGACTTAATGACATTCCCACTTTTCTAAGAAAGATGTTTTTTGAGCATTTTTGACTGACTTCATTAGTCCCCTCACTTCCTTAAAGTTTGTCCTTTAAGTCTGAAGGTTTCACTATTATATGTACTGTAACTCTCACAGTAACAATAGCGTAAACATCCTAAATCTGTAAACATCCATGGCAGCTTTGAATTAGGTTACTGATGCACTGATTTAACTGTAGCAGTTAGGTTTGCTCAGGCGAACTTACTGTTTCTTAGGTAGGTTTCGCAGCCTGCTCTGAGCTCCAGGCTGTTAGTGCCCAAGTTTATTACAGACTGTTGAGTTGCAGCCTATGCTTTTTGTTTGCTCTTCCCTTCCATTTAAATGGCTTCAGATCATTCAATTCAAGGTTATTTCCTATGACCAAGTTCTTTTATAAATGTCCTCGCTACTAACAAAACCAAGCTTAAAATAGAATTCTGTCTAGTTGTTTTAACCGCTATTTGATGAAAATATCTATTGGTTATTGTACCGGGGAATAGCTAGCCTCTGAATTATTAGTGGCATTTCTCTCAATCCTTTTGCTTGGAAAGCTAATGTCACTTACAATTTGTCTCCTTTGAAAGCCACAAGTTTCTCTTTATATACTCAGAATCTCCTCTAAATAGTTCTCGGTCAGAGGGAGAGTGGTTTTGACTAGACCTCATTTTGTCACTTGTTCCTAGGCAATGGTCTCTGTTTTGGCTGCTGCTTTTTCTATCATCTGAATAGTTGTCTGTGTTTTCTCTTAAATATCTTTATTTCTCCTGTGATGGAAAAGTTGCATCACTTCTTCCTGATCCAAAAGAAAACAATAGATGACTATTTCTTTGGTGGACTTTATGCTCCAGCTTGGTACCCTACGATTATCTCTTTGTATAGCATCAACCCTGACCCTAATGAGCTAATTTCCTTTTGTATTTTCTAACAAGTTTTTGCAACACTTCTCTATATATCTGGCAGAGATGGTGGCTGTCGCAGTGTCTGTGGGTACCTTGAGGAGTGATTGTTATTGATTTGTGGTTGAGAGGCACTTCAGGGATGTGCTTATAATTATTGCCAAGTTGAAGAGTAACAAAGAAAGTAAGGGAGAGTTCTCTCAAGGTCACAGAATAAACCTCATCCTTGTTCCTATGCAGTGTTTGCCCTCTGACATTGCTTCAGTGAAAATCAGGTGAAAAACTGGTTTCTTGAGGAAGTCATGCTTTATTTATGGAATTTGGTTTGCTGTTTATTTATTTATTTAGCATTCTCAAAAATTTTGCTGGAAGGTGGTATATTGGTGCCTGGAAGCAAAACCGGAGAAAATTCAAAGCACAAATTTAGAAGTTTTCCTTGCATATTCATATAGAATATGATATTCCATGTTTTGTCGCTGTGTTGAGGATATTTTCTGCCTCAATTCACAGATAGTCTGTGGGTAAGTTTTAAAAAAGGTGGTGGATCACCAGCCACTCTGTTTAAATAAATGTGGGTATTTTTGAGCAGTCTTCTTTGATGCTAATACAAGCTATTTACGTGTAGGTTGGCCATTACTTATGTATCCACGATTTTGATTCCTTTTTCCTTTCCTTTTATATGTAGGGAAAGGCAAAAAAAGAGAGAGAGAGAAAGAAAGGAGACACAGAAAGTTGAGACACTTCTGCTTTGATTGCTGATAAAATGTTTTCTGCAGCAGTCACTGGTGTTCCAGGAGGCAGCAGAGAAGTTTAACCACCACCATCAATAAAATATTTCAATGGTTTATAATCTCAGAGAGAAAGTCCCTTTCAAATTTGTTGCCTCTTCCTATTACAAAATCTGCAGCTGGCTCTTCAGCATGCTTCGCCTGATATATTACGTTAATCAGTTCCCTTATTTTTGCTAGGCAGCAACCACTCCTCAAAAACCCCACCTAATTGAGTGCACTATTTTGGGGTGTTTTGTCTTGCAGCTGGGAAGCCAGACTTTTTGCCAGTAATCTGTAGTCTCTGCTTATGAATGAAACAACTTTGTAGCTTCCTCAAGCTGGGTTTTTGGAAGCTATTTGTCAAAGCATCTTCATAGTTCAAGGCAGAAGCCTCCACAGAGGAGGTAGTGAAAAACATTCGATAGCTAGTAGAATTTGTTGATACCAGCTTTCCTTGTTTTAATCACAGAGGTGGTCTCCTGCTGAGAGTTTTCCCCTTTATATAAATCTTTGGAGAAAACATTCCATGTCTCTCTCTTGTAAGATGTTTTGGATGCTCTAGATTCTTTCTGAAAAGTCTTTATTCTTCTGTGACGTGCTTCTTTTCCTTGTTGCTTTTCTTTTTGTTTGAAAGCTATACATATTCAATAATATTTTTAAAAGTTTAAATTAGTCTCTCTTGGGTTTTGTTTCCTTCAAGGTTTTAATTTTCATCGAATTTAACAATCTGTGTGCCATTAAGGTTTAGTTCTTAGCTGTCCCTGCCCTTTCACCTTTATAAGAGCAGTCTTCTGGTAGCTAGTGTTTCACAGTGGTGGAGAGATTGCAGAAATATTGACATGCGCTTTCCTCCCTCTGAAAAACTGCCTGAGACAGATTTGTCTCAAGCCTACTCCATTTCCAATTTAGTCAAGCCACTAGGCTGCATCAGTAATTCTTCCTCAGTTAAGATTGTTTAAAGCAAAAACTGTGTTTTCCTATTAAAGTATCTCCCTGTTTTCCCCTAGAGAAGCCTTGCTTCTAGGGATTGCAGGGCTGGTTGCACAGCATTATGAAGTATCAATTTTTCCCTCACCAGCCATGAATAAGCCTGATCACAGCCTTCAATTTGATTATGAGTGTTTGGATGAAGGTTGGTTGATGGTGGAGGAAGTGTATAAAGCATGGCTATTTCTGCTCACAGACGCTGGTGATAGTGGGTATTATAGTCTTTCTTTCCAAGGAACAACCATTTTAAGTCTTCTGTTAGTGCTCTTGCTGCTTTGGAAGATGCCCAGGACTGATGGGCATAGGGTCAACAGGCACGCCTCTGCTTGAGGAACAGTGTCAGAGCACCTGGGGGACCATCCCCACTGCAGGAATCCCACGTAAGAACTTTGCCATAAAGTACTGAAGACAGGAAGCAGGATGCTAATGCCAGAGCTACCACAATCACCAAATGCAGCAGGACAGGATTTCATGCAAATTAAAGGGTTAGAAATTTGGTAGGCATAAGTCTGAAGGAGGAAAACACAGTGACTGCTGAAAATCTAGAGCTGGTAGAGCTCTAATCAGAGGCAGTAAAAGTCTGATTACTTTGTCTTCCTCGTCGTCTAATGCCTTCTGTATATATAATGAAAATTTGAAAATTTCAAGGGAAATAGTTACCACTTCTCACTTTGAGAGCATGGTGCTTGCCACAGTGCTGAGGCCACAGAAGGCAGGCAGTTATCTAATGGGTTGCCTTCTATGTGGATCTTTGCTTACTTCCTATCAATAAATAATGGTCTAAGAAGATAGCCTTGTGGTATTTGCAGCTGCTTCTGAAAGGCATGTTTTCTATTAAAAATGCAAGTGAATGTAGAGCATTCCCAAAGGTTCTTGACTTTGGTAAAAAGACCCATTACCCAGGAGACAGTCTAATCTTTTAAACTTCCTTCCCCTGAGCCCGTTTTTTAGATAATCCATCTTTGCCTGCTTGCATACTACTCTTGATAATGAGCCTGTCGTCACATCAGGTTAAAATGTATCACTACAATTAATTTATTTAAAATGTTCAGAGGATAATGAGAACTAAGCCCCATTTTAAAGCTGATCAGGCAGTGCAAGAAAAGAATCTAATTCTTTTCATGAAAACCGACAGACTTTTACTTCAAAACCAACTACACTTCATTAAAACTGTGATAAAAACCTGCAAAGTAGAGCTGAAATATTGCAGCTGTGAGTTCTCCAAAGTAAGAGAAGAATTTTCATATTGTTTCAGTATGACACAATGTGTATGTAATAGATTAACTCTATTTCCAGCATATTTGGAACTGAAGTATTGATTTTCTTCCTTCCTGTTCATATTAACTAAAGGAATTTGGAACCAGACCCAACAAAGGAGTTTTAGGAACCTTAGGTAGAATTTAGGTAGAATTTAGGTGCCTATATCAAATGTTTTAGTGTTGAAAACCTCTGCTTCAGTTGCCAGCTGATCTTGAAGATGTCAGAATTCTTACATTTTGATCTAAAACTTTCCAGGCACTTCTTTCTTTCTTTTGTTTTTCTTTTGCACAAGCCCCAAACTGTTGCAGTTCTGTGCTCATATCTAATCAAAATCACAGACTGGAGAGTGGATGCTGTTCTTCTCAGGGGCTTGAGGCTGTAGGTATTTCTGGAATGCATTTAATGTTCCTGACCCCTCTAAAAATAGATCTGTGATAGCCACCACCTTCTTTTAAGGCATAAGAAGAAGCATGTGTCAATTCTTCTACAGTACCCTAGGAGATTCAGGTTTGGTCCCTTCCCTTACACCACTTGTGGAAATCAAATCATGTTATCAGTGCATGGTAATATTCTGGATGGGGGAAAGGGAGAACTGAAGAGAAGCAGGAAAGATTTCACTGAGTTAAGAAGGAATAACATAGGAACATGGTAGAACTTCAGCTTCCAAATATCTCTTTCAGTGCTTAATGTAAACTACTATTTTATATTATCTAGTAATTTTTTTATTTTTATTTTTTTCCAAAGAAATTGATTCAAGGTTAATAGGATTTTAGTATTATGGTATTATTGTATTATGGTGGTGTCTTCCTATAGAATGGGGTTTTTTTTTTGTTTGTTTTGTTAATTTAGTTGATTGGCTTTAGGGCAGAGGGGTTAATTGCCTTAATGGCAAAAGGAGAAATAAAGTTAAAAACAAATACAGGAAGTGTAAAAGAAGCACAGAACAATGTTAGTGTCTCTCATGTTCTTGTAGCTTGCAGCAGTAGTTTATCAGTTAAACTCTATAGGAAAAGTAATAGTACCAGAAATACGATGATCTCATCTGGATGTCATGGAAATATTTTGTGATTCAGGTGGCAGGTGAAACTCACTATCCTTTCCAGAAATAAGTGGTACAAACATATTAAAATTCTAGAGGTATAATTTTTATGAATAAACTTAGAGTAAGGTTTCTTATTGTTTAAAACATAAACATTATAATTTCTCAGCTAGTAATAATTTCCCTAAGGGATCCATCCTAAGGGATGGCTTCAGCAGCCTGGCAGCCTATGTGGTTAGAAGCTTTGACACTCAGAGACACCCATAGCATGGCATTGTGGAAAAATGACATTGTAGTTACTAACAGTTCCATATGTAATTATGGAGGTATTTATATAGTGAAACCAACTTATCAGACACAGAGGAGGTCACTACAGGGGATGGCATTACATCTGGGAAGCAAGATGATGTTGTGTAGCTTTTCTTCGTTACAAATGCAGGCAGTGTAGTGATGATGAGGACTTGGCTGTGCTGGATGCCAAAATAGACTCATGGAGTCCATAAAGTCTCCACAGAGTCATGGAGAGACATCTGCAAGACAGAGTTGCTGCCACATGAATCATTTGTAGGGTTCTCTGTGAAAACTGCACAACAATGCCAAGGGAATTTAACTAAAATGAAAAGGGGTTGAGAGCAAAACAAAAAGATTATTATAACACTTTGTGGACCTGTAGTATTCACCATTGCTTTAGGTTTGATGATTTCATCTCTAAATGAATATGGAAGAATTATAAAAAAGAACAGAATAGGAAAATCAAAACAAATGTTTCACATAACTTCTGCATGAAGCTAGAGTAGGATGACTTCAGGAACAGGATAGACGCCCGTGATACCATGAATGATATGGAAAATAAAAAAGAATTAGTAAATCTGTCTTGCAGTATAAAGAGGAACCTTATGAAATTAGGTTTTAAAACAAACCTAATTATGCAATTGTATGACTTCAGTTGTAGAACTGAAGATGTCTGATCCAAAAAAGGGTTGGAGCAATCTATGAAAATAAGGAATGATAGTGTGATCATGTCGTCCAACATCTAGCTTTGCAAGTCCTTCTGTTCCTGACCTACAGAAGGTTCATTTGACTTGGTTTTGCTCTGACCCAATATGGATTTCTCAGGTAGAGAGAAGGCTGAAAATTGTAGTTGCCTAAAGAACCATGCTAATGATGCTCGTGAACATAAAATACTAGACAAAATGGCTTAGAGAAAACTGTGAAAATTAAAATAGAAAACCTCTACAATCTTTCTCCCCCATCCAATCAAAATTTGTGAAAACTTTCTAAGTCCTAAAATTGAAAAAATGCAGAACTGCTCATTTCCAGACATGCTGTCTATAGCTGGTTTAAAGTTACTTATGATTGCAAATATACACACTTATGATTGGTAGAGTGCTGTAGGACTGCTGTGAGACAGCAGTATTTTTTAATACTGCAAAGCATAAGGACAATTAGAAATATCACTCCCACTGTGGAAAGTTTCTGTTTCCCCTAAATACAAGCATTTTCATACACGTCTAATCAGGATTAAGCCACTCTCTCAGGCTATGGATTTAATCATTGGCTTGTGAAAGGATATTAAAAATCACTGAAAATATTACTGAATTCATTGCCTCATCTGCCAGTACGTAGCACCTGAACAAATGCATTATTTCCCTTTCGAATCATGGGTACTATAGATTGTCTTTCCAGTAAATTTGTAAACCTATAGAGAGAATAATATAATTTGTCCCTGTAAGTCATATTCTGAGTGAATGAGCTTTTGGAAGTGGAAGTTCTAGTAATTTATATTCACAGCACCTCAGTTTGAATTTAATGAGGATGCTTCTTAAAACGGAGCCATGACAGAGTCTGGATGGCTTAGCCAGTGCTCAAGGAGTCACAGGATGTAAAACTATTATTATGGTTACTAATAATAATGAATAGAGTTCCTCAACATCTATTTCTGTAGATCCTTCCTTGAGGCTGAAAGAATGCAACTTCCCTACCTTGAAGCAAGTGAGAGTTCAGATTATTAGAGCTGTGTGAGAAAAATAAATACATTTATTTACTTTGTATCTATATGTACTGGTAAGAAACTTTCTCTTCTTTTATGCGAGCACAGCGCTGCAAGCTCCTGAGCAGTCTTGGTACGTGTTCGAGGAGGATGCTCATAATTTTCTATTAGTCAGTTGGTATATTTGAGCCCTTTATGATCTTCTGAGCTTTTGGTAAACCCAAGGTTATGTACACTTAATGGTGTCAATGCATGAAACTTATCTGTCTTTCACGGAATTTTAGCAATAATGGAATTTTTGTGAAACAAGCTGAATCACTGACCTGAATTGTAACTTCTATCTAGGTTCCACTGCATCCAGTAGGAACTTACCTGTTGACTTCAGTGACATGGAAAATCACTTCATGCGAAACACTATAAAACTCACCTTAATTACTCTGTCTTAAGTTTGGAATTGCTTATTTGGAATAGCCATTGCACAAATCCGTCATCTTTTTCAGTTGGGGATTTTCAGCTCAATTACATCTATGTATGTAATAATATAATGTAGAAAATCAGTGGAACATTGCCCCTGGAAACATTCAAGGCCAGGGTGGACAGGGCTCTGAGCAACCTGATCTAGTTGAAGATGTCCCTGCTTATTGTAGGGGGTTGGAATTAGATGATCTTTAAAGGTCCTTTCCAACCCAAACTATTTTATGGTTCTATGATTCTAGTGAAGCTGTATCATTGTTCTGTCAATGACAGGTGTCCTGGGTTCAGCAACAGCAGTCATTTTTTCTCCTTCTCAGTAGCTGGTGCAGTGCTGTGGTTTTGACTTTCAGCCTGAGAACAACGCTGTTAATACTGGTGGTTTTAGTTGCTGCTTAGTAATGTTTAGTCTGACCAAGGACTTTCTGAGTCTCATGCGCTGCCAGGGAGGAGGGGGAGCCAGGAGGAAGCAGAGACAGGACACCTGACCAAAACTAACCAAAGAGGTATTCCATACCACAGCACGTCATGCCCACTATATAAAGTGGGGGCAGTTACCCAGAAGGGCTAGATCACTGCTCGGGTTGGGCTGATTATCGATCAGCTGTTGGTGAGCAGTTGTATTCTCTTCTCTTGTTATTTCCCTTATCATTATTATCATTGGTGGTAGCAGTACTGGTTTGTGTTATACCTTAGTTACTGGACTGTTCTTATCTCAACCTGTGGGAGTTACATTCTTTCAGTTCTCCTCCCCATCCCTCCAGGAGCAGGGGGAAGGAAGGGAGGGCTGAGGGAGAGTGAGAAAGTGGCTGTGCATAAACTGCAACATCAGGGAAAAGCACAGTTGTGGTTTTGGTAAATCTAAGAAAGTGGGTGGACTAATACTTAATAGGACAATATTTTGGGTTGACCTGGCCCTCTCTTCAGCTAAAAACGCTTTCTTGAGAACTGAGAGGCATGATAACAGTGCTGCTTTTTTAAATGTTCATGTTGAATTATTCATTGCATTTTAATAGAGAAAAATCATATGCAACAGGTGTTTTTCCTCTGGCTTGTTGAATTGCAGTATAACTAGCCTCCAGTTATTGGCCTCAGGGAAAGAAGCAGTAGAACAAATCAGCCTTATTTTAAAATAATTACTGCAATCCTACAGTGCCTGTCAGTTGTAATTTTCCCATTTTATATCAATGTTCAGTAAATGTACAAATAGGACTCTGAAACTGGGAGAAAAAAAATGTAACCTATTAAACAAAATTTGAGAAAATAACTTGTGGGTTTAGTAAATATGATTCCAATAGAAGTGAAGGGCCCATTCCGTACATTTTATTAAAATGGCAACTGCCTGTGACAACCTTTCAACAATGTGGTGCAGCTCTATGCATCAGTTAGGTCAGTGAGTTAAGAGGCATGGTCTTTTCAGAAGTGATACATTACTCAGTGAAGGCTTAGGACACACTACTGAAAAGCTGCTGTGTTCCTCATGTTTTTAAAGTCTCTCCCAGCTAACATATTAGCAGGACTGTAAGCTGTGCACTTCTGATCAGCTGCAATACACTGCAGCAAGATGTTGCTCAAGCATGCAGCTTCCTTAAGCTGCTGCAGTGTGAGGTAGAGTTGTTCCCTGTAGTGGACTCAGAATATGAAAAATTTAGTCCCCTGTCTTCAGATCTACCCAGTGGAATGTAAAGACAAATGAAGAAATAGTTCAGGATTAAATTTGAAGTTATTAAACTTAGGTAAATGTGAAGAGGACTTTCCCAACCATAAAACCAATATAAGTGTTTTTGTTACTGTTTGCTCTTGTAACCCCAAAGCTGATAATTTTTTAATAACCTATATATCTGCAGTGTTAGAAACCCAAGGCCAACTTAATTATGCTTCTGAATGAGGCTGGGAAGATTTTGCTCCTACTTTAACAATTAAAGATGCTCTCACAGACATGGACATAAATTGTTTATTTGTTTATCTTCAGAGCAGATAGTGCTACCCGAAAGGTGAGATAAAAGCATATTTTCAGATTTGGAGAGTAATGTGAATAAGAGATTTGTTGGACAATAGAGTAAAAGATATGAAGCTTTGTACTACCTATGTTGAGTGGCAATAGTACTCATCATAGCTCCTTTCATGATCTGCAGTATTTTCAGTACTGTTTCATAATGTGAAGATTGGACAATATACTAACACATAGGCAAATGATAACTAATATATTTATTCTACTCCTTTTAATTCACGTATTTTGTTATTTTGGTACAGTCTGCATGTTAGCATTTTAAAGAATAAAAGTATTCCACTTAGATTTTTTTCACATAGAACATTAAAAAAAAAAAAAAAAGAAAAAAGGTACTCCTTGCATTTATTCAGAAATAATAAAAATTATGCATTTAAAATGTTAATGAAAGCTGATGAGAAATTTAATAATTTTGTACATTTATTCTTCAGATTCTTCACTAGCCTTGCATTAGTGAAATACATAGATAATGAGAAGTAGAAAATAGACTTCACAGTTCAATTAAAGATAAACCAGAAGACACTTTAAAGGTTTTCCTTTCAATTCTATTTCTATCCTGTATCTCTCCCTCTCAGTTTCAGAGGGAGGCAGGAAGTCAAGGAGTTTCTGCTCTAACAAAAAGGCACTTCCAACACATGCATTCCCATTTCTCCTTCTTAGCTCCATGTAAACATTTTTTCCCTTTCCTTCAGCCTGCAAGGAGACACACTGTGGGACTGATTGTCAGTCCAGAGGAATTCTCTATGCCCGTCAGTGAGATTATCATGAGCTTCCTTTGAACTAATTGAATCACCACTAAAATCAGAATCCAGCTCTACACCTCTGACAGGAGATGGAATAGCTGAGCAAGATAAGGCATGCAGGAAAGTCCTAACACACTGCCCTTTTCTGCCTATTTTCCTCCTTTGGCACTTTCACAATTCTTCCTGGAAGGTGGAGCCACTGGATCTGAGAATCTGATATTTACTCCAAACTGAGTTTCAACAGAAATAAAACCCTATTGAACAAACATAAGAGATGAGCACTTAGAACTTGATGCCTTGTTCTTCTTGATTGTATTCATAAAGGCACCCATTTTTTTTCTGCCAATTAAGATCTTCAGCAAGGTTATTTAGAATTACAGAAGAGATCTGAGTTATTTTAGTATTATTTTCTCTTGAACAAGCTGGAAAATGTGAAATGTTTCTTACCATTTAAGTCTTTTCTTATGTCTCTTACTGTTCTAATGGTGAATGATTTTCGTTACACTTTGAAACAACTACATCAATTCCAGTTTTCATTAATCTAAGAATGCCTATACATACAGACTAACATACCTTCTTTGGAGAGATGGTCCTCCGTTTATAGGACTTTGCCTCTGTTAGAAACAATATGACTGAGGTCCTTTTGGAAATCTGGACCCTAGTGGGATACTTAAAACTACTCAACACTAGGAGTTACTTAAATGCTCAGCAGTGAGTGCCTATGTGCATCTTCAGTTATCAAAACTAAACTTCTTAAACACCTGAGAGCTGGAAATGCAACTCTGAGTCAATTTTCAGGAATTTTCAAAATGAAAATTAGGCTACTAAAGTAATTTGTATGTCTTCATAAGTTTTACTCTGTAGCCATTTTTCATGGTTTTGATGTATTGCATCTGTCAGCTACTAATTAATTTAATGAATATATAGGTATAATATTTCTTTTAAACTCAAAATATAAACCCTATGGTATTGTCCCACAAACACTGGTTCTTATTTCAACTGTACATGGTTTTTATTCTCATCTTTTACCAGGTGTATCTGTAGAAGGAACAAGCAAGCAATATGTACAGTCATTCAGCCAGCATCTACTTGTGACCACAACGTTTGAATTGTTCTCAGAATACTAAATAACCATGAGGGTCCAAAAGTTATGTGCATGCTACCTTCTGCTTGGATTTTTAGCCTTTTGTGATTGGGGTTTTTTTTTCCTTTTTTCTTTTGGGTGCTTGAAGCAGCCAGTGACAGCGTATATCAACTGTGTGCTTCACTGGAGAGGAAGATGCTTGGGAGTGTGTCTGTCAGTACTGTCACCTGCTGTAATTAACAGCATGCTAAGAGCTGTAAGCAACCTGGGAAGCTTGATTGCATCATGCATCAAGGAAAGGAGAGTTCAAGACTTTGTGCATCTTTTTAAAAGAAAAAAACCCAATATGGCCAACCAAAGAAATAACTTTAGATACAGTCCTGGGTTCTCTTTGTCTGATAAAAAACCTGGGTTAACAAAGTAAGTAATGAAGGTGATTTGAGAAGAAGTGTCATTATAAGAGATAAATTAAATAAAACAAGTGAATGATAAAATTAATTTACACGTATTTAAACTATGGTTTGATTTGATCATGCTCAGTGTTTCTGGTTCATTATGATTATAGGGTATGATTTCCCAGCTCTTTACTCCTGATTTATGCTAAAGAATGAGGTATACTGTCGGTTTCAGATTTTCTGTTTTAACTCAATGCTAAATTAACCTTAAATTATGGGTTGGATTA